TATATATATATATATATATATATATATATATATATATATATATATATATATATATATATATATATATATATATATATATATATATATATATATATTTAATACATATATATCAATATATATGTGCGTGTGTCTGTACACGTGTGTGTGTGAGTGTGCGTTTGTTTTAAAAAATACACAATATATTTATGTATGATTTAGTAGGCTATAACATGTTAATATATAATAGTGTGTGTTCCGTGCCTGTGTCCGTGTCCATGTCCTTGTCCGTGATCGTTTCCGTGTCCCATGTCCGTGTCCATGTCCGTGTCCGTGACATTGTCCGCTTCCTTATCTGAGAAATGTGTCTGTATCTCTGTCTGTCTGTGTGAATATATGTATTTTTATAATATTTATGTGTGATTCTTTATTTATATATATATATATGTATATGTTTATGTTTATGTATGTATAATATAAATATGTATGTATGAACACATATTTATACTATATATATGTATATATGTATACATATATATACAATATATATGTAGATATATATGTGTGTACTTATATATATATATATACTACATATACTATAAACTATATATTTTATATATATATATATAATATATAGAAATGTATAAGTATAACGTATATATACATCTTTACATAATAGCTTCGTTAGTACACAATCATATTTGGAAAGTAAGATACTTCATCGCAATCAGAGACAATTACTGTTTTGAAATATGCTTGATTGCGTCTGCAGCTTATAGAAATTTATTGTTTTGTCGCGTCGGGTAGGTGATATCGATCTCTTCACCCGAGAATAATAGACAATCACATAAAATCAAACTGAATTGCCATCATTATGTTCTGTTGTTGAATATTTATTTGATTGCAGCTTACATAAAGTTGCTTAATATATATGGTGTGTACAGCCCGGGAAGGATTCCGATCTGTAGCTCGCTCGGCCCAAGTTACACTATGTGAGCGCTAATAATTGATAACCCGCAGATTTGGTTAGCTCCAGTGGCATTGCTCGTCTGCCCCGGAATCAATAACATTAGTGTCTACCACATATGCTTGTTGGCGGCTCGGTAATCGAGGGAGACGGCACATTCGCTCATCTGTCTCGCCCATGGAATACTTGGCACCATTTTCGTTGTGGTTCACAAGATCATTGTAATGACGGCGACCGCTTGAGGGGGAGGATCCTCCTAGACGGGGCAGGCGTTGTATGTTTTCATACTCGATCTCGCCGGAATATTTGTCACCGGTTTCGGATCGGTTAATGAAATCGTTGATCATGGTGTTCGTTGTTTGTTGTTTGTTGTTTGATGTATGTTGTATTCAATTGTTTGATATGCAAAGAGAACGTCCAGCCACTATTTATACGCATGTGTACCATACCGAACACCTCAACGCATATCACTGCTGGTGAGCACTTTTATTGCCCCATAGATGATAGAACGTATATACTTCTCAAGCCTCTCAACGCCAAGCCATCCCCTGTGAGGCTGTGACTGTGCTGGAGGCTGTAGCCAGGCCTAAACAATTTTTTTAAATGTATAGCGTATGTAAATACAAAATCAAATACGAATGAAATTCGGATTTGATTTTACCAGTGCTGGATTATTTCTGGTTTTCTGACTCAAGCCTGTCAAAATGCGTCCTCAAGACTTCGACCAGTCCGCCACCCGGTCATCGTTCTGTTTCATCATGTGGTCAGCGAAAGTAGAGCTCGAAATTCGAATCTATGTGTGATTGTTGTCAGTTTGATGCGAAAGACCGTAAGTCGCAACTGATCGACATTCGACGGGGTTAAAAAAAATCGAATCTGGTACCGATGTTGTCTCAGCCAATCCTTCCAAAGCAGCCAGTGCCCTATTGATTTACAACAATATTTCATTGGTCTAAAAATTTGCAGAGTTGCGCAGTTTATCAAAAGAAATCCATAATATTTATCATCTTACCTTAGAAGCATAAACTACAGTCACGAATATTGCTGTTGAATTATGAATATGATGTGAAAATTATAAAATTCTAAATCTCAGACAAATCGGGATGAATTCTGCTTTATTATTCCGTCATGTCTTTTCAATTTTATGTAAATAAATGTATAAAAAAATGAAATATGTTGACCAAACAGAAATATGTAGTCATATTTTTTGGATATATTTTACAATTCCACGAGGAGATAAAGCATCGATGATTCGATGCAGACCTGGGCTGGAAGTAGGAGTTATCTGTTCTGACAGGCTGATGACTGATATTAGTAAACTTGGCGGATTTTCATAGGTGCTGCGGTAATCTATTTGCACACAACAGTCTACTACACAGCCGTGTGGCCGAAATAAAACGATCGCCATTTCCCCCCAATTTTTCTTTCTTTTACAACACAATTGTCAATTTTACATAGTCTCTTCGTGATATTCCTAAATATTCCTGTTTATTCGTTTTTGATTTTGTACACATCATCATCTTTTGAACGTTGAGGGAGTATATGTCCCAAGTATACACTTTTCGTTACAGGCTAAATAGTACATACCATAGTAGGATATGCCCCGTGGCTTGCGCCTTGTTGCCTGTGGTGCTTGAGGTCCAAGGATTGTGGACTTTCAATAATGCTCGGTGCTCACCGCCTCACCATTAGCGATATGCATCAGGGGTGAGGTGTTCGGTATGGTTCACATACTTATAAATAGTGGCTGGGCGTCCTCTTTGCATATCACACAATTCAACAATTGAATACTTATAACAAACAAACACAATGATCAACGATTTCATTAACCGATCCGAAACCGGTGAGAAATATTCCGGCGAGATCGAGTATGAGAACATGCAACGTCTGCCCCGTCTAGAAGGATGCTCCCCCTCAAGCGGCCGTCGTCATTTCAATGACCTTGTGAACCACAACGAAAATGGTGCTAAGTACTCGATGGGCGAGACAGACGAGCGGATGTGCCGCCTCCCCCGATTACCGAGACGCCGAAGTGCATTTGTGGTAGACACTAATGTATTTGATTCCGAGTCAGATGAGTGCTGCAACTGGAGCTAATAAAACCGACCGAGTATCAGATATTAGCGCTCACATCCTGTAGCTTGAGCCGAGCGAGCGACAGATCGGAATCTCTTCCCGGCTGGACACATCATATATATTAAGCAACTTTATGTAAGCTGCAATCAAATAAACATATTCAATATCAGTACTTACGACGTCAATTGGACTTTTATGTGATTGTTTAAGGATCTTGGCTCGGCATCATATCGAATAGATACCCGACGGATCGATATCACTTCTGGACAATTGAAACATATTCATATATTCATACCCAACAATACGTCCGAGAGCAACATTATATGCTGTAATAGATATAACTTGAAACTTGGTACAGTATAATATTTCTTTTAAAAAGACTGTTTTCGCCATTATTGTTTCACAAACAAGATTCACAGCATAATTTCCTCATAGCGTTTACATACAATACTGGTTTTGAATTCTCTACACACACTTTGAAGGTGTCCAACATTATGAACACTCATAAATTATAACTTCGTCGAGATATACAAATATCACACTATATAGAGTCGTGGAAATATTTACCAACATATCTATATTAAAAATAGAAATACGAACAGTATGATTTGAAAGTATAAAACTGTTGTGGATAAAGTATAAATATATATATATATATATATATATATATATCATAATATATATATAATTATATAGTAATAATTATATATATATATCCATCC